ACATCGAGACCAAAGAAAAGGAAACAACATATTTGGCTCCTACATCAGCCTTAGAAGTAAGGTGAGGACCTCAGCTGAGGCGGTTCAGATCTCTGATTAGGATATCACATTTACCCCTCTAATTCAATTCAAGTTTATTTATACAGCGCCAAATCACGACAAGAGTCGTCTCAAGGCACTTCAAATAGTAAACATTCCAATACAGGTCAGTTCATTAAGCCAATCAGAAAAAAGTTTCCTATACAAAAGGAACCCAGCAAATTGCATCGATTCACTGACTAGTGTCAGTGTCTTTACAGCAATCCTCATACTAAGTAAGCATTTAGCGACAGTGAAGAGGAAAACTCCCTTTTAACAGGAAGAAACCTCCAGAGGATCCTGGCTCAGCATAAGCAGCCATCCACCACAACTCACTGGGGATCGAGAAGACAGAGCAGACACACGCACACACACACACACACACACACACACACACACACACACACACACACACACACACACACACATATACCAAGTAGTGTTTCTATGGTTACATTGTGATTTCTTAGTAAATATTTTATTTGGTTCGCGGCCGAGTGTGAAGCGGCTGGGATGAGAATCAGCACCTCCAAATCTGAGACCATGGTTCTCGACCGGGAAAGGGGGGCTTGCCAACTCTGGGTTGGGAGAGAGGTCCTACCTCAGGTGGAGAAGTTTAAGTATCTTGGGGTCTTGTTCATGAGTGAGGGTAGGAGGGATTGGGAGATCGACAGGCGGATTGGTTTGGCGTCCGCAGTGATGCGGACGCTGAGCCGATCTGTCGTGGTGAAGAGGGAGCTGAGCCAGAAAGCCAGGCTCTCGATTTACCGGTCGATCTACGTCCCAATCCTCACCTATGGTCATGAGCTTTGGGTAATGACCGAAAGAACGAGATCACGGATACAAGCGGCCGAAATGAGTTTCCTCCGTAGGGTAGCCGGGCTCAGCCTTAGAGATAGGGTGAGGAGCTCGGACATTTGGGAGGGACTCGGAGTAGAACCGCTGCTCCTCCGGATCAAAAGGAGCCAGTTGAGGTGGTTTGGGCATTTGGTGAGGATGCCTCCTGGACGCCTCCCTGGGGAGGTGTTTCGGGCATGTCCTGCCGGCAGGAGGCCCCCGGGTCGACCCAGGACACGTTGGAGAGGTTACATCTCCAATCTGGTCCGAGAACGCCTTGGGGTCCTGCTGGAGGAACTGGTGGGGGTGGCCGGGGAGAGGACGGTCTGGAGCTCCCTAGTTGGGATGCTGTCCCTGCGACCCGGACCCGGATAAGCAGTGGAAGACGTTGACGATATACTTTAATTATAGATTCACTAGGATAAATACAATAAACGGGTAAACTAGTAGCACATTCAATGTCAAAGAAAATAAAAAGTTATTAGGAGAGGGAGAATGTTTAAGTGGTTAGCAGCAGTGTTCAAGCGGTATGGCCCCTTCCATGAGGGCACCACAGCTCAGCAGAACTAGCCTGGCCTGCCAGACTCCTCCTCTGGGAACTCTCCTATTCAAATAACCCTACCCCGTGAGAATTCTAACCGAGTCAATCAGTGCTGAGTAGCGTACGTCACACGCCATAATGCCGAGTTTGTCGAACATGGCGACTGAAGCAGAGTTAGCTGCGGCTCTTTCCTCTTTTCTAAATGACAAATGTTTTTAACCCTCAGGCTTCATTAGGGACATTTGTCCATTTGGGCAGTTTGGTTTTTCTTTTTGACTCCATTTCACCACCGTTTTGCATATGGTACAAAATTTTGTCGCAAAATCTCTCCGGACAAATTTTGAAATTCAATTTGGAATTTAGAAAATAGACCAAGGGAACACTATGGGGGAAAAAAAAACACTTGAGACCTTAGAGGACAAAAACATCCACCTGTCAAAGTGGCTATAAAAAATGTATATATATTTTTTCCCCATAGATCTATTGAACAACTTCAGCCCTACTCAAACATAAAAATTTCAATCATTTTGAGGATTTTAACCCTTGAAATGCCCATTTGAATACTAAGTTGTTGCTGTAATTTATGGGGGGGGGGGCGGAGTTAATTTCTAAAAAAGAAAAAATGTTTTGCCTGAGGTGTTTTGTACAAATCAGTCTGGATTGTGTATGAAATATCTAAAATTTTGAATGTTTTGCATTTATAGTTTTTACATAACAGATTTAAAATTTACAATACACTCGAGCCATTAGAAAAAAACGTCCCATTGACTTCAATGCAAACCAGTTTTTGATCCTGTATCATCTGCAACAAAGAAACCATACTTTCTCTGATGTTATGGTTTCATTTTGGCCAAAAGTTGTAATGACCAGACTGGAGGGACCCGTGAAGATAACCGAGACACAGTAAAGCGAATTAAAGTTATTATGGAACAGTTATTATGGAGGAATGTTACCAGTCTGAAGGAAGGGCTGTAGCAGAGGCTTGGTCAGGAAGAGAGCGGTCGTCAAAGCCGGGGAGATCAGAGTAGTTCCAAAAAGGGGCAGGCAAGAGGCAGCGAGTCCAGGATCCAGGGCCAAGGTCAGAAATCCAGGTAATCAGATGCACGAGATAATCCAGGCAGGGTGTGGGCAAAGGGATAATCCAAAGGTCCAGAACAAGGTCGAGATGCGAGAGCAGAGGGTCAAGAGTGCTGGAGAAACTACTGGCAAATGCTTTCAATTATCTGGCGCTGGCTTCTTCTTCTTCTTCTTCTTCTTCTTCTTATTGTTTAATGGCGGGTGGCAACCAACTTTTAGGTGCATTTCCGCCACCTTCTGAATGGGAGTGTGAGTCGAAGTGGGGAGTATCCTACTTAAAAAAAAAACAAAAAAAAAAACTAAATCCTATCAAGCTGTCCCTTAAAAAGTCTATGACTAACCTATACACCACTAGTCCCCCATTTAACAGAATACCCAACTCAAATTCCCTATATCCCTTAACTTTTAACTTTTCAACCAACAATTTCCTATTACCCACATATTTCCTACAAGCACATAATACATGTTCTACCGTTTCCCTATCAAGTCCACAGTCACACATACCGGTATTATGCCGTCCAAGAATAAAAAGTGTACTGTTCAAAGCTGTATGTCCCAGTCTCATCCTTGTTATCACTGCCTGATTTCTGTTACTCATGTGTATGATTTCCATTCTTCCAACCTTTCCCTTTAATTTGTACAAATGTCTTCCTTTCACGTCTCGTATCCATTGTTCTTGCCATTCATCCAGAATCTGCTGTCTAATAACTGATTTCACCTCTGCAACACTGTATGGAACCTCCATCACAGTATCCAGTGTTGTTGCCTGCTTTGCATAATAATCAGCTATTTCATTACCCTCTACTCCACTGTGAGCTGGAACCCACATAAACTTAACCTCTGAATCAGTCTTCATCAACCTAAACAAGCACTCGAATATCTCATACAAAATATCTAATCTCTTGTCTGCTGACATTTCTCTAATTGACAACAATACAGACATGGAGTCTGAGCAAATAATACTTTTCCTAACACTGTTTTGTTCTATCCACTGTAAACTAAATGAAATGGCTAACATTTCCACTGTATATACTGACAGATTATTAGATGTTCGACTTTTATGAAATTTACTAAATTTCGGAATCCAGAAAGAAAACCCTGTCAAATTTCCTGACTCTCTCGACCCGTCAGTATATACAGGGATGAATGATTGATGAGCGTCATTTAATCTTTCTTCCACAACATTATCCCAGTTTCCCACACCTTTCTGTATTTTAATTACATTGTGAATATGAAAATCTATCACCACTTTTGGAAATAACCAAAACGGAGTAGGCGAATATAAAAATTTCTTAAGAACAACTAAATCATTTAATTTAAAGGCTTCCGCCAATCTACACGATTTCCAGACCATGCTCTCATACTGTCCATTGAAACATTGCCCTCCTACTGTCATCTGGCGCTGGCTTGGTGTTGGTCCTGGTGTTTTATAGGGAGTGTTGCAGGTGGAGCTGATGAGGAGTTAATGTGAGACAGGTGGTTTGGATGAGGTTGATGGTGAGCTGGTTGTGGTTGCTGGGGAAACAGGGCTTGGCTGGAGCAGGGACATGACAAAAGTAGTCCAATTTATGATTCTTACTGTTCAGTAACGGAGAGCCGTCTTTACCGACTGTACACTCCACCTCCCTCTACTCCCCCACTTGTCCAGATCTAGGCTAACATCAGATTTTAACCATAGGCCCTATCAAATAAAAATGTTTTAAGCTTAGTCTTAAAAGTAGACAAGGTGTCTGCCTCACAGACTAAAGCTGGGAGCTGGTTCCACAGGAGAGGAGCCTGATAACTAAAAGATCTGCCTCCCATCCTAATTTTAGATATTCTGGGAACCACCAGTAGACTGCAGTCTGAGAGCGAAGTGCTCGGTTAGGAACGTATGGAACAATCAGATCACTGATGTATGATGGAGCTTGATTATTAAGAGCTTTAAATGTGAGAAGAAGGATCTTAAAATCTATTCTGAATTTAACAGGTAGCCAATGTAGAGAAGCTAAGACAGGAGAGCTATGATCTCTCTTTTTAATTCTCATCAGAACTCTAGCTGCAGCATTTTGGACAAGCTGAAGACTTTTAACCACATTCTGTGGACTTCCTGAGGGTAATGAATCACAGTAATCCAGTCTTGATGTAATAAATGCCTGAACTAGTTTTTCAGCATCACTCTTGGAAAGGATGCTTCTAATCTTAGCTATATAATGATTTTCTGGATCTCACTAGGAAGGGGTCCTGGGGCAGACAAGGATTATGTCCTCTCAAGCCTGGGACTTGGGGTTCCCAATAAGGTGCTGAAATGTTGTTGGAGAGTGATCTATTATGGAACCGTTTAGCTTTTATTAGGGGCTAAAACTAATCAGTCCCCGTAAGTAATCGTTCGTTGTCAAATGCATGAAGACGATCTCCAAAGGGGAGCCACCGACTATTATTACCTGATCAGTCTTTTCACTGGTGTCTGCCTTACTGGTGTCCACAGGAGATGTGTGAGCTGATCCCCAGTGACCAGCAGCATCTGTCAGCCAGGAGGGAGAGGAGAGACCAGCTGCTCATGGGTCTGTCCAAGCTGAAGAAGGACCAGTGAGGTCAACACACAGGGCCCAGAACAAGAGCTCTTAAAAACCTTCAGGCTGAAATTAGAACTTCTAATTTTTATTTCATTCACTACAAATATGACTGATTCCTTAGATGTTCTATTATTTGTCATCATGAGCTCATCATCAAAGCAATCAGAACTAGAACCATGAACACAATGTGCATGTGATTTAAAGAAGGCTGTTATTTTTTATTTAAAAAAATCACTACAAAATAAAGGATTCCTATTGATGCAGCTAAGCCCATTAGTGTCTGTTTTTTTCCCACAGATCACATTTAAATAAAGACATTTAGTGAAAAGTGTGAAACAATGTGTGGGTCAGAAAAATACTTCTGGCCTAAATAGAATAAAAAGGACTGAGAGTCTTGTTGTGTGCATAAACTTTGTTTATTTTCTTCTTTGTTATTCAATTTAGACCTGGCACTGTGAAAACTGAGAATAACAGTGTACAAAAACACAATTATATACAAACACAAGTAAACACCTGAATACAAATCATACATAATGGGTATGAATCGCAAAAACAAGCGCACCTCGCTCCGCTGGCCAAGGTGATAGCAGTTCCACATACGGCAGCCTTTCTGCTGACCACAACAGGTGACAACCAAGCAAAACAAACCAAGTCAGCACAACAGCATCAAAACGAATCTTAACACTAAAAATACTACATTTTGTGAGACTTACACGGGGGTGCAGTACTTAACCTGCAGCTGAAGCAAAATCACACTATAAACTTTGCAGACTTCAGTGTGCTCTCTTTTCTCCAAGCCAGACAATGTCATCTTGAGTCTTCCTGCTCACTTCCTGGAAGGGTGTGGCTACTTTTGTAACATCCTGTGGCTAAATCAAGATATTACCATCACTGCTACACTCCCACCTAAACCATGGCTGATTACATGTAAACATTTCAAACATTACTTACATGGCCTGTATTTGTATAGCACCTTCTTAGGGTTCTACAACCCCCCAAGTCGCTTCACAACACAGTCAGTCATCCACACGATCACACACTGGTGGGGACGATGTAGCCACAGCTGTCCTGGGGCGCACTGACAAAGGTCAGGCTGCTTTACACTGGTGCCACTGGTCCCTCTGACCACCACCAGCAGGCAAGGCGTTACACTTTAGTTACACTTATACATCTTACATCCCTTTAAGTAAGCAGCCACTATCTTCAGCCACTGCTCTACTCCCACCAAGCACCCAGAATCCTTGTGCCCTCATTTCTGGTATGGTTTGGCCATGACCCTGAAGATCAAAAATCTTATGCTCTACTGTCTAAGTGTGGGGTTCTGACTCAGGATAGGGTTTATACCTTCTCAGCCATATGTTTTTTGGAAGAACAGGTGGACCCGGTCCTTTGTAGGGCAGGGGCATCTGATAACGTGTTGTCTTCATGAGTAATGTTAGCAAGAAACTGCACAAAATGATTTTCTCTTGAGATACATCCTTATGTTGATATGTTCTATTGTTGAAATCCCTTTCCAAGACTTTTAGGACACAAACTCGCAAAATCACAAGATCCTTCGAGTTTTCAAAGATCTCGAGGGATCTTGAGATTTTGCGAGTCCAGAGAGGAGCACAGCAAGGAAGCTGCTCTGTGGCCAAGACTCTCCCGGTGTGTATTGGACCACATTGAAGTGAATAAACCGTTATACTGCCATTCCACGTCACTGATGTAAGGGAAAGACTGCTCCCAGTATGTGAGGTAGCACAAATTTACGTCTGAGGTGTGCAGTATGGGAGTTCCGCATACGATGCTCTCACCTTTTCTTTTCACCTTATACACCTCGAACTTCTCCTACAAGACCAGCAGCTGTCATCTGCAGAAGTTGTCTGATGATTCATCCATTGTCAGCTGTGTGTCTGAGGGGAATGACCAGAAGTACAGGTCAGTCATCATTGACATTGTGGACTTTGCTTGAACACCAGTAAGACAAAGGAAATGGTGACTGATTTCCAGAGAAAAACTCCTCCTAACTCAACATTAAACATCTAGGGAGCAGATACTGAGGTAGTGGATACCTTTAAGTAGCTGGGTGTTCACATCAACAGCAAACTGAACTGGTCCAACAACACAGGTGCTCTATAAGAAGGGCCAAAGCCGCCTCGACCTCCTGAGGGGGCTGAGGTCTTTCTGAGTTAATTCCCAGCTGCTAAAATCCTTTTATCACTCTGTTGTTGGCTCTGTTCTTCACTCTGCTGTGGTCTGTTGGTGTGCAGGCATCTCTGACCGAGACTGGAAGAGGCTAAACAAGCTAGTTAACAAAGCTAGCTCGGTTCTGGGCTGCCAACTAGATTCAGTTGAGGAGATGTGTGAAAGGAGGATGCTGGGGTAGCTGACCTCTATCTTGGAAAAACCTTCCCACCCACTGCATTCCACTGTGGAGACCATGGACAGCTCATTCAAAGGCAGACTGAGACATCCAGATGTAAAACAGAACACTGCCATAGGTCATTGATCCCCTCTGCAATTAGAGTGTAAATCCCTCAAGACTTTAAGTTCACGGTTTGTTTATGCCATTGTTGTAGGGGTAAATATGTTGCTTTTAAGCTTACTATATTACCTCTACTAATGACCATTAAGCTGTGATATTCTATATAAATATAGGATATCACCCTTATCAGTCTTTGAATGTTTAATCAGAAGATTCTAGGATTCTTTGCCTTTTCAGTGATCAAACACACTTCGTATTAATTCAGATAGAGTCAGGTGTAACGTAGTAATTATTGTATGTATTTTGGGTGCTTTTAAAGCCTAATATTCTACCCTACACTTTGACCAATGTGATGTGAATTTCCATATGAATATGGAAATCCAGCCTGATTGGTCTTTGAATGTTTAACCAGAAGATTTAGAATTCTTTGTTTATTCAGGGATTGTAAGACACTCTGTATTAATTCAAGAAGAGAGTCAAGTTTATAAAAAGTAAGAATTTATTTTCCAAACAATTATAAACATGACAAGTTAACTAAGACTTCTGTGATGGATGGATCTAGGCTGATGGGATGTGATGTATGGTGACTATGTGTGAACGTGAGGTTATCAGAACCTTCATACCTAGAAGAACTGAGTTCTGGGTGTAAAAAGAGAGAATTTGGTTTGCATTAACTATGAAGTTGATTCTTATCAAAACCACATCAGATGCGATCATGCTGTGTCTACCTCACCCTTTTGGAGACCTTCTTCACGGATCCGGAGGTCAGGAAGGTTGGATGACCTCTGGGCACTGAGGTTCAATAGATTAACCGCAGCACCAACTCTCCAGTCCAGCAATGTTTCCCAAGTCACAACAGGTTGGAACTACTTTGCATCTAGAAGGACTCTTAGGGAGTCGGAAATGTGTCAGCTTTGTTCTGCAGGAACCGTTTGCTGTGTCAGCTTCAGCGTGTAGCAAATGTTTGACAGCTTGTCAAAAATGCTCTGGGTTAAAGAGGTTTCGCTCCGGACGGCCGTTCCGTAGCTTTCTCTAGAACTTAGTCACGGTGAAGTGAGCTCTGTTTTAATATTCTCATGTTATGGTTTACTTGTCCAGTCGGAACGTGCCATGTTAAGGGGTGTTAACAAGCAAACCTCAGAACTCACGCCTTCTTTCAGATACAGGATGCTCTGATTTGTGGGTAAGAAAATATCCATGTGTCATGACGTTTAACTTAACTTTAATTTATCTCTAATGAACCTTGTGTCCGAGTGTAGATGATTACCTTGTCATATCAAACATTACCGATCATCATATATAAATCTTTCAATGTAATAATAACATTCCTTTCAAACTTCAGTAATTCAAGCACAGATTAATCAACCTTATTAATTTAAGCACAGATTAATCAAGACATTATTATTATTCATATAACATTTGTTCGTTCAACCATATTGTTCATTCACTATTATAACAGTTCAGTCCTTTCTTCTGTGCAGGACGGCCTAGATACGCAGACAGGCTTGGCACAGAAGGACCTTGAGAAGGGAACATGATGTTGACAATCTGTCATGTGTGACAAAACTGTGTAAACACAGTGTCGAATCTTTTCCTGCAACTTGGAAGATTAAGAGACGCACAGACACAGATTCAAGTCTATAGCTGACCGATGGCATGTAGGTCAATCTGTAGGTGAAAACTGACCATTTCTGGACATTACACAGGTTCATAAAAGGTAAGAAATTTATTTTCTAAACAAATTACAAACAAGACAGGTTAAATAAGGTGAATGTGATGAATGAATCTACCGGTAAGTGGATGGAATGTGATGTATGATGATTGAATGGTGTGTGTTTATCAGAACCTTGTATCTAGCAGAAACTATATTCTGGGTGTGAATATAATTTGGTCTGTATTAAACTATGAAGTTGGTTCTTATCAAAACGGCATCAGACGAAATCCTGCTGTGTTCTACGTACCCCTGAGGAGACTCTCCTTCGAATCCGAGATGTCGGGGGGGTCGGGTGACCCCAAGGTACCGAAGTTTGTAGAAAAGACCGCAGTACGACCAGATCGGTCCAGAGTCGTCTCCCGGATCACAGCAGATAGATGAAATTGTTTGCGTCTAGACCAGCTGTTTCTGAATAGCTGAAGGAACCGTTTTGCTGTCAGCTGTAGCATGTAGGTTTTTTGACAGCTTGTCAAGAGATGCAGTGGTTAGAGAGTTTTCCCCCGGTGGCCAGTCCAGAGTTCTGCTCAAAACTAACTGAATAGTTATACAGGGATTGTAGCAAGTTTGGGCGCGGGCTGCCGGCTCCACAAGCCAGCAGCCTGCGCCGCAGACAGGGATTGTAGCAAGGAATAGCAAGTTTCTGTTTTAATATTCCCATATTATGATTCTGGACGTGCCATGTTAAGAGGTGTTAACAAACAGCCCTCAGAACATCACGCCTTCTTTCAGATAGAAGGTTCTCTTATTTGTGGGTAAGAACATATCTATGTGCATGAAATTACTTTAACTTTAATTTATCTCTAATGAACATTGTGTCTGAGTGTAGATAATGATTCACTTGTTAAACCAAACATTACTGATCATAACATCAAAATGTTTCATTGTAATATTAAAATTCATTTCAACTTCATTAAATCAGACACAGATTATTTAAACGTTAATATTATTATTCATATAACATTTGTTAATTCAACCATATTATTATTTAATGGTTATTTAACTTATGAGTTGTAAAAGTTTTTCTTTCACAAGAAGGCTTTGTTTGGGAACATAGGCTGACATCTTGTTCCCCCTGAAATGTCAACAAGGACTGCAGAATCTTCTGGGCTTTAGAAGACAGGATAGAAACTCCACTCAGGTAGTGGAATTGGGTCTGTAGATGACCGGACATTGTGTAGGTCAATATGTAGGTGAAAATTGACCATTTCTGGACGTTACACGATCCGCCATTAAATCAAAAAGAAGGAATCCCATTTGATATCACTGTTCGATGTCATATATAATGTTGTTCCTCTCCACTGCCAGGATTAAAGCCATGCAAAACACACCGCTGCACTTCTCGAACAATGCAGGGTAATAAGCCAATAAGCCGTTAGGTCACACCATCGACATATAAATATTGGACAATGGGTTTCCATAGACTCCAATGATAAGTTTTTGTGCTAAAATGGGAGGTGGCCACCACCACCATTTTGACCGTGTCACAGGTTCCGTCAAGCCCAGACAATTCCACAAAAGGGAAGGGAGGTGGAGCTGAGGGTGGGGCTGTAAGGCTGGGGTCAACTGACGACACCCGGTCGAACTAGCTACAAGCTATCCCAAAGCTAATGCGGAGGTGGGAGCTAAGCTAACGGAGGCAGCAACCTAGCTACAACCAGAGTTAACTGTACACAACACCAGAGCTTCTGAGTCAGAGTTACGCCGGGCTGACCGCTGGGTAAAACCGGGTGGAACACAGAGGTCTCCGAGACCTCCACAAGCTGGCAGCCGCACAGCAGACAAGCGCCGCTGCGATCTGAGATGCGCAGAGCTGCCGCTGGGGAGAACCGGGTGGAAAGGTTTCCATCCCAGAGCTCCACAAGTCGGCAGCCCGCGTAGCAGACAGAAGCCGCGATCAGACAGAGATGCGCCTAGCTGCGGGGAGGGGAGAACGGTTGGAAAACATCGGTTTCCATCCAGAGCTTCACAAGCCGGCAGCCCGCGCAGCAGACAGAGATGCGCCGAGCTGCGGGGAGAACCAGCCGTCAGCCCGCGCAGCACACAGAAGCCACGATCAGACAGAGATGCGCCGAGCTGCGGGGAGGGGAGAAACGGGTGGAAAATAGAGGTCTTCCGAGAGCTCCACAAGCCGATAGTCGGAACCCAGCTCCACCAACATGTTATATTTCAACCCATTTTCTAAAGTGCAGCATTATGTTAAATGCACTGGGTTTTACCCTATTACATTTAAATTTCATGGTTAAACAGTACAAGTTAAAATCTAAGCTCAGCTCGGCAGTGACCTAAAATACATAAATATAATTTTACTTACCGAAAACAATGAAGTGGAGACTCCTTGGATGCTCTATTAGTGCAATTAATGCCACAGCAAGTCATTTTGTCCAACAATTGCACAAAAAATATCCAAAAAAGAATACACAAACACAGACACTCAAAATCCTGGAACAATTTCCAAGCCAGACCGAGGCTCTACTGAGGCCTTTCCCCGGAGCTAGCTCTGTGGTCACGTGGGTCTGATGCTCATTAATCATACAGAATTTTAGGCTTTTAATACACTTAAACAGAAGAGTGAGAAGAAAAATTCACCCCCCTCAGAGTTGTCATGAGTGTAAACTAGATCATTTAAACCAAAAACATATTTTGGAACCAGGCTGTAAACATGTTTATTTCTGCTGTGAAATTGGTATTTTTCCATCCATTCATGTCGTATGATCAGTACTGTTTGATTTAACAAGTTAATCATTATCTACACTCATACACAATGTTCGTTAGATGCAAATCAAAGTAACGGTCATCTCACATAAAGTTTAAAGATTCTTTATCCACGGAATTAGAACAGCTTGTATCTGGAAGGTGTGGTTTTCTGAGGGATGTTTGGTAACGCCTACAGATACGTCAAATTCTGATTTGCAGAAATGACGAACTCTAGATTATTAAAACTAAAATGATTTCCCGAGTTATTCAGTTTCGAGTGGAACTCAAAAGTGGCCAGTTCGGAACCAGCCTCCTTGAGACACCTTGCTCTTTGAGACACAGTCAAACCTGTTGGCACACTGCCAGCTGACACAGTCATTCGGCTCCTTAAAGGGACTTTACGGAGTTTTGAATTTTTATGCTCGCGATTGCCCCCTCAGGCCAAAAGCGTAACGGCAGCTTCAATAGTAGGCTCGTGCATGAGGCGCGCATGCTGTACGTGCACACTCCTTAACGAAAATAACAGCTGAGACAGTCCCGTGTGTGTGTGTGTGTGTGTGTGTGTGTGTGTGTGTGTGTGTGTGTGTGTGTGTGTGGCCCGGAGGACAGAGGACAGGAGAACGCGCAGCTAATTAATTAAATAATTTGGTTCTGTACCTTTCTCTTCAGCACAGCCGACAAAGGTTTATGATGGGTCAGTCCTCCTGCATGCTCAGATCATTCCCTTCCCTTGCTTGAAAAATTGTTCCAAAATGAAAGTTGAACCCACATCTTTTTTATCTGTGAATTCAATGCTGTTCGGCGAGTCTCAAATAAAAATTTGGGCATCTTAATGTAAAAAAAATATACAATTAATGTAAAAAATAAATTCTAAATAAATTATGTTCACATCCAGAATCAAACCCAGGTCTTCCACAAGGGAGTCCGCCATCCAACTAGGTGTGCTATAGCACCAGTGATGACTTTTGTATCTGTAATATTTATATTCCTGATGACAGCTGAAACAACGTTCAGAGAACGGTTCGGAGCGAAAATGGCTATTTTGTTGCTAATTTGCAGGAAATATCTAGAAGAAAGTAGCTAAGGGTCCTCAGAAATGTAGCTAGGTTCATCACTAGGCGTTAGGAACAGCGACAAAGTCGCTGAGTTGGCACTACCTCTCTCTGCTCCTAAAGCTACGGATAGCAAATGCTACGGGCTATGCCTGAGCGTGAACGCGCATGAAGCAGCCTGCTCGACCCGAGCAGCTCTCTTTTTCTGTGATTTTACAGAAAAACATGCAATCACAGTAAAAATGCCAGGGCTCATTCTACAGGACCAGGGCATTGCAGGAGAATGTATGGAGAAGAAATTCATTATTTCTATACATGTTTTGGCTGTCAAACTTCCATAATGCCCTTTTAAGAAACAGCTCCTTAAGAAAATCCGTCTTAGACGCAACCAACCTTCATACCTGTTGTGACCTGGAGACAACTCTAGACCGGACTGGCCGTACTGCGGTTATTCTATGAACTTCGGTGCCTTGAGGTCCACCCGACTTCCTGATATTCCGGGGCTCTCCGCCAGGGTTTGTAGACACAACAGATTGCGTCTGATCACAATCTCTTTCAGATACAAAAGTTCTGATTCACATCTACTTTACACCATCTTCAACTCACATTCCATCACTGCATATCCACTCCATCACATATCATTATTTATGCTTGTCATGTATATTCATTAGTTTAGAAAAGAATAAAATTCCTTTTAACTATATTCTTGACTCTGCCTGAATAAATACGAAGTGTGTTTATGGTCCCTGAACAAGCAAAGAATCCTAAACTTTTCTGGTTAAATGTCCAAAGATCAATCAGGTTTATATTTCATATTTATATGGAATCATCACATCTTATTGACTGCATTATTAAATAATGCAGTCATTACGCTATGAAGTGTGATGCCACACACGCATTGACGTAATCTACATGGCTATGAAATTTCATCGCTATGATAATCTTTTTTTTTTTAATTACCTGGGGTTTTACTCTGAAACCGTGTGTGATTTCCTGTTCAACCCAATGTTAACTCCAGAAATTGATGTGTCCCAGAAGCTGTTCACAGCAAAAATAGAACCTGATGCCATCTTTAGCAGAGCGGCGAGCTGCTTCAGGGACGTTCATCCTCACCAGCGTGTGAAGTGCTTTGAGAGTTGTAAAACCCTAAGAAGGTGCTTTACAAATACAGGCCATTATCATTCATTTACCAAATCAAGGTGCTCATTAGACAGCGTGTGGGTTTTAAGGGGGCTTACAATTGGCATGACTGCAGACGTGTCCACCATAGCTGTGGCCCTAGAATTGAATGTTTATTTCTCTACTATTCATCAATCAAGACAACACCTCACCAAAGTGTCAGACGCCATAAAATGTGAGCATTTCCCCATTTAGGTTGGATACAACGACCGACTGTATTCAGGCTGAGACCCTGATGTGGACGCTGAGCATGCAGACGAGCTTCTTCTTTGGTTATTCAAACCAACTGTTGCAGCATTTGTCCGAGTGTCGGAAGTCAGACCATCATGGGTGGGAAAATGCTGGATGTTGTAGTCCAGGACTAAAACTAAGATGCTGTTTACTGAAAATCTTGAGAAATACCCTAAAACCAACAAAAACTATAAAAGCAATAGTTGTGAACACCCAGTGGCCCTGATTTCCCAGCTGGCCCCTCCCAGTGCCTGGGCCCTCCCTGGTTTCTGCAGGAGGGATGATAAACCTCAGGAGGCACAGGTACACTTCACACATACCGTAGCACCAAGAGGAAGCCGAGCTCCAATAATCCAAACCTGTGTGTGCTGCGACTCAGAAAACAAGAGGACTGGCTGCTCGTCTTCCTTCGTGAAAACATTTTAGGTTAACTGATCCACTCTCCTCAAAGGTGAGCTCTAGGTTTGATCTTTGTGCTTTAATGACAGAACAACAGTCAAACCTGCACCAAATGTTTTAAAATACTAGATCTGAAATGTGAAATGTCAAATAATTCTAGTAGTTTAAACTAGTATTCTGAAATAATTGATAATTTTCTTTATTTCTGAGTGAATGCAAAGTTTAAATCTGTCTGAACTAATGGGGTTTTCATCCAGCCTTAAAGGCAAAATCTTTGTGAATCTGGAGAGTGACACTTATCCCAGAGCTGTCCAGGAATGTGGGTCTATTTGTTTTTCCAGCTCTTGTCAGTGAATTAAAGACTCTCTTGTTTTATGTTTAGCAAGTTTCTACTTCCTTATCAGCCAAATTCCTAAAGACGCTGTAGGAGAAAAAGTCAAAACCTCTTGATTTTTTAATCATTTGTGCTAAATCCTGCAGGTTGTCCTGAGCGTTCGGCGTCCTCTTCACCACGATGAGTTGGGGAGCTCTATATACCAAACTTGGTGGCGTTAATAAGCACTCCACCAGCCTTGGGAAGATCTGGCTCTCTGTGCTCTTCATCTTCAGAATAACCATACTGGTTCTGGCTGCTGAGAGTGTGTGGGGAGACGAGCAGTCCGACTTCACCTGTAACACTCTGCAGCCGGGTTGTAAAAACGTCTGCTACGACCACTTCTTTCCCGTGTCACACATCCGCTTCTGGTGCCTGCAGCTCATCTTTGTCTCCACACCAGCGCTGCTTGTAGCCATGCACGTGGCCTACAAGAAGAATGGGCAAAAGAGGAACATGCTGGCTGCAAACGGCACAGAAAAAGTAGACCTGGAGATCCTGAAGAAGAAGCGTCTGCCCATCACAGGTAGTCTATGGTGGACCTACACCTGTAGCCTGTTCTTCAGGCTCATCTTTGAGGGGGGCTTCATGTATGCTCTGTATTTTGTCTACGACGGCTTTAAGATGCCGAGACTTGTGCAGTGCGAGCAGTGGCCTTGCCCCAACAAGGTGGACTGCTTCATCTCTCGCCCAACAGAGAAAACTGTTTTCACCATCTTCATGGTGGCCTCTTCGGCCATCTGCATAGTGCTGAACGTGGCCGAGCTGTTCTACCTCATCGCCAAGGCGCTCATAAGGTGCTCGAGTAGGTCAAGACAGCAGAAGCACCCTTACTCGGAGAGGGTGACACGGGACAACAAGAAGAACGAGATGTTGCTGTCGTCCTCCACAGATTCATCCAGCAACAAGACCATGTGCTGAGGAGCACAGAGACAAGGAGCTAACCGCTGACCTGGGTAGACATTGCCTTTTCCAGTGGCTGAGTTCAGACCAGCGGTCGTCAGAGTCTACCAACACCTAATGAGCTGCATCCCATCCAGAGCCGCTCACTAAAACACAAACCAGCAACAAACAAGCATCTTCTATTTCTACATCAATAGTAAACTTACAGATTAGAAGACACTTTCTGCTGATGATGCAATCTTTTTTGATACACTGGTGAGCAGTAAATTAATCCCATTAAGACCAGTTTGGAAGACGGAACAAATTCAGTCATAAAGTGTGAAATTAATAAGAGTTTGTATCAGAACAGAAACTGAGAAAAGTCACTTTACTTTTATTAGTAGCTGATTTTGACTTGTGTTTTTTTCTTTGTTGATGTTTGAGTCACCGGTGGACGTGAATGAGTGAGTGAACACTGACCCCTAGTGGTGAAAGAAGGATAAACGTCACTGGTGGACGTGAATGAGTGAGTGAACACTGCCCCTAGTGGTGAAAGAAGGATAAACGTCACTGGTGGACGTGAATGAGTGAGTGAACACTGCCCCTAGTGGTGAATACAGGGTAAATGTCATAAATGATGCTGTAAACGTTACAGATTTTTTAATGCTGTTTTTGTTTGTTTAACATAATGAAAACTATTCCTACAGCTTTGAGCTGAATATGAAGTTCTTCATTTTAAAAAAGGTTTCTGATTTTTTGTTTTAAAATGAAAGTTTGTTTTAATATTAAAACATTTTTATGTCATGCTAACACAGACTGGAAAACATGTTCTGGGTGAGTTTTATCAGACTTGATGTCTAAACGCTTGTAGTGGTGTACAGATATGAGTCCTCGTTAGCATTTGCGTTGTTTTATTTTACTTAACAGAATAAATTTTAGGTTAGAAAAACCTACAAAGTTGGCTCCTGTGGTCAGATCAAAATCGTTAGTCTCCTTGCCTTTATGCCGGATCAGACCTGCCCGGTGCTTTTTGGACGGACCTCACTATCGTGTCTAATTTTAGCTACAACACTCATCATAGCTCAGCCTTAATGCTGCTGATCCCAAAATGAAACTGTCGGTCTTCTCTCCATCCAAAGATAGATCAGTCATATGTGTTTGTTTAGAGAGACACCTCTACTGAACACAGAGAAGTCATTTAGGAATTGCATGACAACTTTGCGTGTGTGTGTGTGTGTGTGTGTGGGAGGGGGCAGCCGTGTAAATCATGAGATTTTGTTATGTTGATGTTGCATAACTGCTGCAGCAGGGGTTAGGGACCACACTTTCGTACTTCAGAAACACAAACAAAGAGGTTTAGCACATCCAGCTTTTGCTGACCTTTGACCTCTTGCTGTCAAACAGCTCTGACTTAGTCAAGGTTATAATTTTCTACCCAGATTTTTACACTAACCTAATAAAAGGAACACACTGATTACTAAAAAAACATTCTAGAAACAAATAAATGAAATGGTTGTAATTGTGATTTTTATTTGGGGGGGGGGGGGGGGTACACTTGCACTTTGATGATCCTTAAATTTGTCCATCTGGAGTGTTTTATTCCATAAATCTGTTAGAACAAACTGTCCTCTGTTGTGTCCAATAACTGTCCTGTACAGGACAGCGTGAAACAAAATTGTTTCACCTCAAATCTTTGCTCTGTTCTCTAGTTAGAAGCTGTCAGAGTTTAGGACTAAAGTTGGACAGAGATGGTTAGGGATTGATTTTGCTTTTGTGTGTAAAGAGATGACATCCTCACTAAGAGGCTGAGCAGAGGGTTTGTTGGGATGTTGAGACGCTGGAGGCTGAAATAACTCTGGATCTGTCAAAAGCGTCAAAAGCAGGGTTTTACCTCTGGTTTGACTCCAGTTGTTGTTGAAATGTTCACTAATGAAGTTTTCTAAATCAGATTTATTCTGATCTTAGCTTGATTCTGAAATTATCTCATTAAATGATTTGATAAATTCTCAGACTTTTGATTTTATCGCTGATTTCTGCTCCATTACCTCAGCTTCATCACAATAATACCAGAGTTTATTTGTTTTTACTGATGCTAATATTCTGGACTGGTCAGACGACATAAGCAGCCTAAGTGTGAAGAGAAACTTGGGAAGTCCTTCAGAATGCCTGAATAAATATTGATCAAAACCTGGAAGCAAAAACTAAAAGAAGACAGTTTTATTTTCTCCCTCGTGTTGGACGACGCGCAGAGCACCTCCTATATTATTTATTGTTTTCAGAAACAATCTAAAAATCCTTGGATGTTTTAGGGACAAGTCAGCTCCAGGAGAAAAGTTAATTTGCAGATAATTCCATTTTATACATTTTATTTTAATTAATATGCACTAAAATTTGTTGGGTTATTTCTTCAACCCAGTTACTGGGTTATTCATGTTGGGTTGTTATTCTGGGTTATAAATTCAGAGATGTACTCATATATTTTTTTAGCCCAAGTTTTTGACTGGATTATTTGTCTGCGAGTAGGTTAACCCAATAATTGGGTTAAGTTCCCACTCCAGTAAGTGGCAGGAGTGCGCTTTGAAATTTGCTGGTCAAACAATGAGAAAACCGGAAAAGGAGGATGCTTAGGCGGGAAACAAAAATGAGCAGTTTACAGTCACTGAGCGAGAAAAGTTGCCAGAGTGCTTTTCTCTTACTTTTGGTCCCTGATTTCTTCACATTCCTTTAATTCGTCTTTGTCTTGTGGCCAACACTAGCTTAAACACTAGCTTAAACACTAGCTTAAACGTTTGCACCACTACTGACGTTCACTTGCCCGCCATTAGTACACGAGGATTGCTAACTTGCTAATTAGCAAATGTGGCTCTTTTTCAAAAGGTTGGGTTATTTTAACCCTTAAAATGTTTTTTTTTCACCTATAAACACATCAACCCAAAATTTGGGTTGATGAAAATAACCCAAATATTTTGGTTAAAAAATAGCCCAAGATGGGGTTTTTTGACCCAAGGGTTTTGTGTGTAGCACCAGTCAAAAATATTAGCTATTTCTATCATAAATTAATTTTATCTGTCTTTGCAAATGAACTCTTCATCTCTTTCTCCATCCTGACCTTCACCTCTGAATCTTCATAAGAACTTTGAACCCAGTGCGCATGCGTGAACGCTCCATCCAATGTACGCGCTTCCAGGTGCTGCTTGAGTTAAATACAGAGAAGCCTAAAGCAAATTTATACATTGCTCTACTTTAATTTAAGAGTTCTGATGTGTGTAAATTGTGCACATTTATGATTGTGTTGAACAGATCTGTGTGCGCATGCCTACCGACGTTGGTTTGGTACGAGGAAAGTTTGGAGACGTGAACTTTTACGCACAGTTTAGGATCCGTTTCGGGGAGGTTAGCAGGGGCGTGGTGTGCCTCCGGACAGGCTGATGACTCTGGATTCACTCACGCATGGTCACACAATGTGACAGTCCAGACATGGCTGGAAACGGGAGGCAGCCCCATCTCCGACTCCAAACCGCCTCCAAAAACTAACAAAGAGCAGCTTTTACGCGCCCAACTCCAGCGGGCCCGGGACGGCGCCGGGAAAGTTTGTGGGACATCATTTAGAGTTTGTTGAGCTGTCAGAGAGGAGACCGGCGGGGCTGGGTTCAGTCTCCGCAGGAGGTCCAGGCTGTCCAGCGATGGCACCGGGGATGGCGGACGGATTTGGTCTCCGGGTTTAATTATGATATCTCCGTTTTAAAGGTAGGACGGACGTTTTTGACACATTTCCGCAATTCAAATGAGAATAAAGAGTTCATTTTAACCTGTTTGAACAAGAGAATAACAAAAGGAGACAACGCTTAAAGGGAGTCTGGACTCTGGCACTCTCTGCATTGTGCGTCTGGCACCTGTCTTTGTATTTGAACCTGACTCCCAAAAGGCCTCAAATCCCGCTGAGACTGTTTCTGCTGTAATAGTTCCGCTCTACTGTAACCATAGCAACTCATGATCTGCCCTGTTTCACAGCTCAGCTGTCTTATTCATTAAAACTTATAGAAATTGATAAAAACAAAGACTCAGAGGATGTAAACTATTTTTGTTTTACAGATAATTTTCTCTTCCAGGTATCATCCAATCTGTTGATTCTAGTCGATGGATTTATTACCTTCAAGAGAAGAAAATTTCAGTAAGTTACCCTCTATGTGTTTAAGGGTATAAACCGACCTTTACCACAGTTATTATCAGATGGTTTTTAATAGCCACTTAAAATGGTTAGTTTAAAGATGTACCACTAAGACAGATCTATAGAATAATAAGTTAAACATTTATATTTAGATTTTAGCCTCTAAACTCATTTTAAAAGACATTTACTCAGTTTTGTATCGTCATTTAGGAACTTATTTGATTTTGGACTCTTGTTCTTGCAGAAGATATCATCTTGGGTCCTTGCTCCTTTTGATAGAATATTTTCAATAAACACAACACAAAAATAACCTTTTTTGGACTTTTCAAAGTAAAAGCATCACTATTTTTTGACAGTAGGTTACCATAATATTTACAGATGTATTTTTGCTCATTTCCAAATTTACAGTAAGTGTTTTATTTCTGTTTAGCTCACGTAGTGTGTGTGTGTGTGTGTGTGTGTGTGTGTGTGTGTGTGTGTGTGTGTGTGTGTGTGTGCGTGCGTGCACGCGCCACAGCAGATCCCCATCTCTGCTAAATGCTGTTTTCGAACATAATAATGTCGATCTCAGCACATGCCTGCTGCTCAGCGGGGCGAGCAGGTGAGAGACAGAGACAGGCCTGGCTCAGAGAAAGGGAGTCAGTCACACAGGTGGCCTGTACAGTACACCAGCTAACACAGCATCCCAACTGTCTGTTTGGTGATTATTGTTTATTAAAAAGAGATTTTGACACCCCGGTTGGAGCCGCTCCTCTCAGCCATGCCCTGGTTGTGTTTGTGAGTAGTGTCAAAGATCAGGGTAAAGACTTTTGGAACTTCTTCTAGATTCATAATCCTCGTTTAATCCTGACATAATCTCTCTGTTTACCCCCCTTCTCCTGCTCCAGCCTCTACTTTCTCCACAGGCTAGAAGCTTTGAAGCATGGGTGACTGGAGTTTTCTGGGCCGGCTGTTGGAGAATGCTCAGGAGCACTCGACGGTCATCGGCAAGGTCTGGCTGACTGTCCTCTTCATCTTCAGGATCCTGGTGCTGGGGGCTGCCGCCGAGGAGGTGTGGGGCGACGAGCAGTCCGACTTCACCTGTAACACCCAGCAGCCTGGTTGTGAGAATGTCTGCTACGATGAAGCCTTCCCCATCTCGCACATCCGATTCTGGGTGCTGCAGATCATCTTCGTGTCCACGCCAACGCTCATCTACCTGGGCCACGTGCTACACATCGTCCGCATGGAGGAGAAGCGCAAAGAGAAGGAGGAGGAGATGCGCAAAGCCAACCGCATCCAGGAGGAGAAAGAACTCCTTTATAAAAATCGCGGCGATGCTGGAGGAGGTGGCAGGAAGGAGAAGCAACCAATCAGGGACGAGCACGGAAAGATCCGTATCAGAGGTGCACTGCTGCGCACCTACGTGTTCAATATTATTTTCAAGACCCTGTTTGAAGTGGGTTTCATTTTGGGCCAGTATTTCCTTTATGGCTTCCAGCTGAGGCCCCTGTACAAATGTGCACGTTGGCCGTGCCCCAACACCGTTGACTGCTTCATATCCAGACCCACTGAAAAGACCATTTTTATTTTATTCATGCTTGTGGTGGCTTGCGTGTCTCTTTTGCTGAATTTACTAGAGATCTATCACCTCGGATGGAAGAAGGTTAAACAGGGTGTGACGAATGAGTTTGCCCCTGATGAAGAGTTGCTGCATCGCGTCAACCCTGCAGAGCCTGAGTGTTTGGCCTCCGCCCCCAGAACTGCCCCATCCAGCCTCAGCTACCCTCCTAATTACATCGATGTGGCAGCAGGCAGTGGGGCTTTTCTGCCCCCCATCAGGCCAGCAGCTTTGGCCACGGTGGGCGACATCCAGCAGGACGAGTCCCTTCACCAGTCCTCATCATCTTCCCACTACTACATCAGCAACAACAACCACAAACTGGCCACGCAGCAGAACTGGGCCAACCTGGCCACCGAGCAGCAGACTCGGGAGATGAAGGCCACGACCCCCTCACCATCCTCTTCTTCCTCTGCCAACAATGAAAATGAGCTGCAGCCCACCGCCAGCGCTGCTCTGCTCCTTCCTACCAGCAAACCCCCCAATGGCAGCAACGTAGGCACCGCCTCCAAGGAAGGTCCCATCACCACTACGGCGGAGATGCACGAACCCCCGCTACCAGTCAGCACGGACCCTCGGAGGCTCAGTCGGGCCAGCAAGAGCAGCAGCATCAGGGCCAGGCCGAGCGACCTGGCCATCTAACCTCCATGACCCTACGTAAAACAACTCACTATCCTCACACACACACACTTAGAGAGAAAATTTCAAAAAGGGACCCAGAAAACCTGAGTTCTAGAGAAGAGAAAGGACAATAAAACATCCCAAAGTTCAGATCCCCCACAATTCTTTGCACCTGCCTCCGTCAGTGTTGCTTTCACACAACTTAAGCTAAAGAAAGACACACTCTCTAAGATGCTGCTCTAAAAAATCTAGACGACATGAAGCAAACGTGCCACAGCGGCCATGTTGACTTGTGAGCAAACACCCAAAAATCCAACAGAGAATCTTTAGGAGTTCCGCAGTTTTTATTGTCACATTTTACGTGCTTCTTTATTGGTTTTACTCTGAAAGCGCTATTTTTTTAATAACCTGAATGGATTTTTCCCCTTTAAATTGCCTATTTGTAGTAGTCAGTTCGTAACTGAGAAGCATCTCTTACTATTAAATGAAGTTGAAAACGACTGCTGCTACTCGTGTCACAACTGGAACGCTTTAGATGTGTTTAACACGATGCTTTGATGCTTTTAGATCCCAGAGATCCAGCTGAGCTCAGCAGCAGCAGCGGTTCTGTGTCTGCGGCGCGTCGCTGTTCGGTTCCGTCGTTCACCACGGGCACGTTTCACCTCTCATTTCCGCCTGTGAGCCCAACGCTGAGGCAGAGCTGAATTATGGGATAGCTTTCATTTGCATAGCACAACATCACAACGAGGAGTTAACACGCCCGTGCACACTTTCATAACAACATCATTCCTGCAGCTAAATCAGCATTTTACTTTGGTTCTTAGAATTAAGAACAATGCTAAATAATGTCATTTATCATGTGTCTTTCTGTTGTTGCTTGGAGGACATTTAAAACAAATAAACACAAAAATGACAACGCCCACACATTTTGTTCAAAAGTCTGCATCTATTTTCCATTCCAGATGTTTACATCTCATTAGTTGCTAAATATTTGCACATTTAGAAAGAAATTTGTTTATTTAAATTGTGATATTGGTGGTGTTGGGGGGGGGGGGGGCAGAATGTGACGTAAACCTGATCCCCTCTGAAGGGAAGAAGATAAAGTCTTAAAAACAAAGAGCTGTGGTTCTGAAGAAGGAGCTCTTCGTCTCCAAATCTGATGATGAAAAGTGAAAAAAGCTGAGGCGCTTTTTTAGTTTTTCCAGTTCCTGTGTTCCCACAAATCCCTCTGGACTGCGGTTAGACGTCACAACGGACAAGTCCGCTGCTGAGAAAGCGTTAGCCTTAGCCGGCCCTTTCCTAACCTCTGCAGACCCGACAGGATGTTGCATCCGAAGCGTGTCGTTCCTCCTGTTTCATGCAGAGCATGATTTCTTTGGCTCACCAGAGTCCCATCTCACGACTTTGCTGTCTTAAACCAGAAAAGTGCCTTGTGTCTGAATGATTCTACTGTATAAAAAAACATAAAAAACAAGTTGATGTAAATGTTAATTTACCTCAAATGTTTACAAAACTGTTACTAAATAAATTTTTGTACAATATCGCAGTTTTTCATTCTTGAGCTTGTCTTCTGGTCCCTGATGAGATAAGGAACAAACGGTGTTCCGGGTCAGTTTGTTTTAAAGGCTAGACCTGCAGATGCCACCATGATTAGAATCTGAGGTACCAGATTTGTCCTTTTAGTCTTTTATAGTTGGTACAGAAAGTGTTCATACCCCCATCAACATTGCAGCCATTTGCTAAAATTAATTAAATTCATTTGTCCACAATAATGTACACACAGCACCTCGTACTGACAGAAAAACACAGAATTTAAAAAAATATTGCTGCAGATTAATTAAAAAAACTAACTGAAATATCACATGGTCCTAAGTACAGGTGCTGGCCAGTAAATTAGAATATCATCAAAAGGTTGAAAATATTTCAGTAATTCCATTCAAAACGTGAAACTTGTACATTATATTCATGCAATGCACACAGACCAATGTATTTCCGATGTTTATTACGTTTAATTTTGATATTTATAGGTGACAACCAATGAAAACATCAAATCTGGTATCTCAGAAAATTAGAATATTCTAAAGGCCAATGAAAAAATGTTTGTTTCTCTAATGTTGGCCAACTGAAAAGAATGAACATGAAAAGAATGTGCATGTATAGCACTCAATACTTAGTCGGGGCTCCTTTTGCCTCAATAACTGCAGTAATGCGGCGTGGCATGGACTCGATCAGTCTGTGGCACTGCTCAGGTGTTATGAGAGCCCAGGTTGCTCTGATAGTCGTCTTCAGCTCCTCTGCATTGTTGGGTCTAGCGTATTGCATCCTCCGCTTCACAATACCCCATAGATTTTCTATGGGGTTAAGGTCAGGCGAGTTTGCTGGCCAATCAAGGACAGGGATACCATGGTCCTTGAACCAGGTGCTGGTGGTTTTGGCACTGTGTGCAGGTGCCAAGTCCTGTTGAAAGGTGAAGTCTGCATCCCCATAAAGTTGGTCAGCAGCAGGAAGCATGAAGTGCTCTAAAACTTCCTGGTAGACGGCTGCATTGACCCTGGACCTCAGGAAACAGAGTGGGCCAACACCGGCAGATGACATGGCACCCCACACCATCACTGACGGTGGAAACTTTACACTGGACCTCATGCAACGTGGATTCTGTGCTTCTCCGCTCTTCCTCCAGACTCTGGGTCCTTGATTTCCAAAGGAAATGCAGAACTTGCTTTCATCAGAAAACATAACTTTGGACCACTCAGCATCAGTCCAGTCCTTTTTGTCCTTGGCCCAGGCGAGACACTTCTTGCGCTGTTTCATGTTCAAGAGTGGCTTGACACACGGAATGCGACACCTGAATCCCATGTCTTTCATGAGTCTCCTCGTGGTGGTTCTTGAAGCGCTGACTCCAGCTGCAGTCCACTCTTTGTGGATCTCCCCCACATTTTTGAATGGGTTTGTCGTCACAATTCTCTGCAGGGTGCGGTTATCCCTAGAGCTTGTACACTTTTTTCTACCACATTTTTTCCGTCCCTTCGCCTGTCTGTTAATGTGCTTGGACACAGAGCTCTGCGAACAGCCAGCTTCTTTAGCAATCACCTTTTGTGTCTTGCCCTCCTTGTGCAAGGTGTCAATGATTGTCTTTTGGACAGCTGTTAAGTCAGAAGTCTTCCCCATGATTGTGGTGCCTTCAAAACAAGACTGAGGGACCTTTTAAAGGCCTTTGCAGGTGTTTTGAGTAAATCAGCTGATTAGAGTGGCAGCAGGTGTCTTCTATATTCAGCCTTTTCAGAATATTCTAATTTTTTGAGATACCAAATTTGGAGTTTTCATTAGTTGTCACTTATGAATATCAAATTTAAATGTAATGAACATTGGAAATACATTGGTCTGTGTGCATTGCATGAATATAATGTACAAGTTTCACGTTTTGAATGGAATTACTGAAATATTTTCAACCTTTTGATGATATTCTAATTTACTGGCCAGCACCTGTATTCAGACCCGTTGCTCAGAACATTCTCTTTATGTGTAAAGAAGATAAGGTCTGAAGTCACATCATTGCTTCACGGTGTTCCCCAGGGCTCGATCCTTTGCCCAATTTTGTGTCTTTTATATATTTGCCCTCTTGGGGAGATTAATAAAAGCTTTACTAATGTGTCCTACCATTTATATGTGGATGACATTCAACTGTACTGCTCTTTCAAGGACACAGAGTTTAACAAGTTAGCTGATCTACTTGATTGCATTGCGCGTATTAAGGACTCGCTAGCCAGTAACTGTCTTCAGTTGAACTCAAGCAAGACCGAAACACTGATCATTGCTCCTGAACAGAAAGTGCTTTTAATCAAACAACCCCTCGGTTCCCTGAGCTCCTCAGTCCAGACCAGTCTCAGAAACCTTGGTGTTCTTTTTGACCAGTCCATGTCTTTGAGCTGCCACTGAAAACATTTAGTTAAGAACTGCTTTTATCATTTGTGAAACATTTCCAAATTGAGAGCTTTTACTTCAAAATCAGACTTGGAGATGATTATCCATGCTTTTATTTCCTCTCGTTTAGATTATTGTAATTCTATCTTTACTTGTTTTAACAAATCAGATGTCTGTCATCTCCACTTGGTCCAGAACGCTGCAGCAAGGCTTTTAACAGGAACCAGTAGAAGGGCTCACATAACACCGGTTTTATCTTCTGTACATTGGCTACCAGTCGAGTTTAGAATTGATTTTAAAAATTTAGTTTTGACTTTTAGAGCTCTTAATGGACTAGCTCCTCAATATTTATCAGACCTTTTAATCCCTCACTCTTCTGGCCGCACTCTACGGTCCTCGGGTCAAAACCTACTGAAAGTCCCTAAGACCAGATTTAAAACTAGAGAGGACCTGTCCTTTCAAGCTGCAGCTCCCAGACTTTGGAACGCCCTGCCCTTGTTTCTTCGTGTGGCCGACTCGGTTGAATCTTTTAAAAAGCAGCTGAAGACACTTGTATTTAGACAAGCTTTTATGTAAGTTGACCTTGTGCTCCTGTCCTGTTTTGCCTTTTTATGTATGTTGTGAAGCACTTTGTGATTTTATCTTTGAAAAGTGCTATATAAATAAAGTTTTACTTACTTACTCAGTATTGAGCAGAGGCACCTTTTGAGCTAATACAGCCATGAGTCTTCCTGGTAAAGATGCAACAAGTTTCTCACTCCTGGATGTGGGGATTCAATCCAATCCAATCCAATCCAGTTTATTTATAAAGCACTTTACAAGACCCAGCACAGGAACAAAGTGCTGTACAGAAAGTACATTAAAACAATTGACTAGAAAGAAAACAGCAAAGATAAATAAAACACATGATACATAAAATTAAACTAGCCCTATATTAAAAATAAAAACTTGATAAAACTTGATAAAACCGCATTTGAATCACCTAAAACAGCTAAAATAAAATAAAAAATAGAAACCAACATCTCACAAGGTATTAAAAGCCAGGGTAAAGAGGTGTGTTTTCAGGAGTGCCTTAAAAGCAGATAAGGAACTGGCCTGTCTTATCTCTAAAGGAAGTTCGTTCCACAGTTTTGGGGCTGCAACAGCAAAAGCACGATCTCCTCTAAATTTACGCTCAGTCCTGGGTACAATCAGGAGCAGCTGATCAGCAGACCTGAGAGAGCGGGAGGGAGTGTAAGGCTGTATCAGATCAGATTCCTCTCCAGTTCTGTCAGGTTGGATGGTGAACGTTGGTGGACGGCCATTTTTAGGTCTCTTCAGTGATGCTCGATGGATTTAAGTCAGGGCTCTGGCTGGGCCATTCAAGAACAGTCACTCCTTTGTTACTATAGCTGTGTGCTTAGGGTCATCGTCATGTTAATATGGTAATAATTTACAGAATACACAAAAACTTTTGCCCTTAATAGAAAAATAATTGGGAATCCGTAAGAGTCTTACGGTAAGACTCTGTTTAAAAAAGACAACTTTTATGATATTTGGTGATCAAAAGGAACTTGACAGGGAGATCAATTTAAAATTATGCAATGTTGAAATTGAAAGGGTGACAGAGATTACATTTTTGGGAGTGGTCAATGATCATAAAATGAAATGGACACAGCGTGTTTATTACATTATAGGAAAACTTTCTAGGATGAATGCAATACTGTACAAATCATTTATTGTTCACCCATACTACCTCACATATCATACTGTGTGGAAACAGTTAATGCAATAGTTCTCTTACAAAAACTGCAATACGTATTATTAATAAGGCAGATTATTTGGCACATACACATTTATTGTTTGTAAAATCACATGTCATGAAATGTAATGATTTAGTATAATGCAAATTATGTATAAAGCTAAATTTAAGTAACTTCCGCTAAGCATACAAAGGTTTTTTTTCTTCTGTAGAAACAAAGTATGATTTTGGAGACGATATTAAATTTACTGTTCCTTCAGCAAAAAACTAAATTCCAAGTAAATGTATATCTGTGGTGGGGGTTAAATTATGGAATAATGCCGGTGTAAATTTAAGAACTTGTGGTGCATTTCTGTGGTTTAAAAGGATGGTTTTGAACATCATTTTTGAGGGTTACAAGAGTTTATAAGTTCTGTTGTAAATCTAAGAGTATTGTGTTTTCTTAGACTAAACTGTGTATATTTGTCTTCTTTTTCTTTTCTATTTTTTGCTTAAATTGTACAGATTGTATGTGTTAATGTGTGGATTCATTTGTTTAATCATAAATATAAGCATTCTGCTTCTGCCTGAGCCTTTTCAGTCACTTTAAATGTAATGTTTTATGATTATCTTATGTTTTGTTATGTTTCTGACTGAATAAATCGAATCAAATCAAATGTTAGAGGTAAACCTTTGACACAGTCCTGAGCACTCTGGAGAAGGTTCTTGTCCAGGATATCCCTTTACTTGTCCACATTTATCGTTCCCTTGATTACAATCAGTCGTCTTGTCCCTGCAGCTGAAAAACACCCCCACAGCATGATGCTGCCACCGCCATGCTTCACTGTGGAGATAGTATTGAACAAATGATGAGCAGTGCCCAGTTTTCGC